TGTGTCAAAGCTAATATTGTTTATTTGTAATTCAAGTTTTTAAAATTTTTTTACCTGGGGGTTTACATATTGGGTTTTGATATCTCCATTTTTCCTCAACACATTCCAGCCCTTGTACCTTCTTGAAACCTTTTGGACATGTAATGACTACATTTCCATTGCAATCTTTATCAAAATTTGCGTCTGTTATTTTAGGATCCGTTAAACAACCGGTAAATTTAATTTTGATATTATTTGTTGCCATTATTTACTTTGACTCGATACATTACCCCCCCCCCCCCCCCCCGACAATTATATCATCAAGTATTCGTCTCAAGAACTACATGTTAATTTACTATTTACAGACAAAGACGATTTAAAATGTGTTTAAGCTAGTTATCCATGCTGCTGAAAAGAAAGTTGTCTTGAGTAAATTTCTTCTGACTCGGACTCTTCCCACAATAAAAAAAGCTAACATAAATTTCGCCCAGATATACAAACTTTAACTCTAGATTCATAAAGCAACTTTTAGATAAAAAATAAAATATTTACCTGCGTCTGTAAGAATAAGTATAACTGAAATCAACAGAGCGGAACATAATAGGTTATTCATGGTTTTAACGTTAGCAAGACCTGTTAATATTATATTTCTAGAGACTTGTTGATACACTGTCGAATGCTAGATTTGGTCACGTATTTATAGTAAATGCAAAATCTCCCACTGAACAGATGTTTCTTTGACGACTGTAAATTAATATTTTATACCAGCAGATCAATGATAGATATCATACAGAATTTTTTTATTTAATAGAATTTTGCGCACCAACCAAATCCAAAATATCATTGAAATTTTACAAAAATATCATTGAATTTTCACCCCAAAATCCATTGACATTTCACAAAATACCACTGAAATTTTGGTACATTTTGTTTAAATCTTTCACTGAAATTCAGTGAAATCTCAATTCACATCAAAATTTCATTGAAAATGTGAAATATGATGCAATATGACATATATCATGGAAATTTCCATTAAACTTATTTCTGTAGAAACAATATAACAAACAATTTTTCCTTTATATTTTATATTTATTGTTTCTTTATTATTCTTCTTCTTCTTTTGTTTATTTTTTAGACCAATTCTGCAGTCAAAATTTTCTCCTGGTCAGTCTCTATAGATATAGTAATAAGTTGAAAATATTTGACTCTGAAATATAAAAGTTTGAGTATTGATAGATTAAAATTCAAAATCACTTAGTAGAAAAGTAGATTAAAGAGCTAGACTTGAACACCACTAATGGCATGTTAGACAGGACTCACTCCACTAATTCATTTGCCATCTCTTTCCATGTTAAAACACGAAATTCAACCTTCTATAACTTTTTCCAGAAATCTCGTTGAAAGCTTTCCAATATGTCGAATGAAAGCCTGACAAATTCTCAATGTCACCTAAAAAATTCATTATATGATGACCATGAAAATTTTGAGCTACTAAAATTGAAAGTAGACTACTACCGGTTATACTCATCCGCTAGAGTTTGGCACTTCACAAAACGACTATTTTTAGAATTAGCCTTCCACCTTTAGGTCTCTCATCATCTCACCAAATCTGAAAGATAATGCAATTTCAGACATCAAATTCCAAATCTAGACCAAATTTTACCCAAAAATAGGCAGGCAAAAACCCCAAAAGGGAGAGAGAAAGAAGATTTCTAAAAATAGCCTGGACTACAATCATTTGCATAAAATGTTTTAGTGGAGTGAGTCCATATGACTTGGTCATATGGTCAAATCATACCATAATCACTATGTTTGTGTCATATAACAAGAGATGAGTATTTTTTTCTTAGACTAAATTGATTCCAGGGTACACAATTGTAATAATATCAAATTGGACACAGAAAGAACTGGAAAGTTGATCTAGGCAACCATTGAAACATGGATTTTGATTGGTTATTTTATAAAGTCTTACTAACATTTTGTAAATTTGTCTGCTAATGGCTGATTAAGAGAATGTTAATAAAATGAAAGTAATGGTCAAGTTATTTCTCTATGGTCAAGTCACTCCATGTTATTTTATATGAAATATTTTACAAAACCACATATTTTATTTACTGTATTTACATAAATAAATAAAATGTTTAAAATGAAAATATTTTCAAGTGAAATTTCAATGAAATTTACAACTTAATTTCTTCAGTGATTTTCAGTGAAATTTCATAAAAATTGATGAAATGTATGGAATTGACCTAAATTCTTCCATTTCAGTGAAATTTTGATATCTTTCATTTGATTCTTCGTTCATAATGATGTCGCCATCTTATCAATGGATGACGTAATTTGCATTATAAACCTCGCTTTCAGTGTCTAATAAACTAGGGTTGAAAATGGTGTATTGACGGGACTAATTTGTTTAACGTAACATGTCTTGTAAATAGAGTAATACAAAGATACTTATTAATTCTATGGACTTGTTTCAGTATGTTCAATGTTTATTTATCAATGTATTATGTCTGCAGGGTTGGTTGAAACTACAAGAAAGGTATATTTCTGTCTTTATTAACACAATAAATAATAAAGCCAGCAAGGATTATATCCACGTCTATGGATTTAAAGGACAGGTGCGCCATTTTGGGGATTTGATTTGAGTCTGGAATATATATATGTTAATTATAGTCTTCAGAAGTACTTAAAACTAGGAATTTCTGTTTTTTCTATTTATATAGATGTCTTTTCTATATATGACAGTGTCTCAAGAAAAAACGTCTCGTCTTTTTAACTTTCGGATAATTCTGGACACACATATAGATTTGAATGCTCAAATTTCGATGGAGAGCTGTATACACTATTACTGACTTAAAAATTGCCGTCTTTCAGACTAAGGTATGATTGGTCCACAAAATGGTGCAATTGTTCCTTTAACTCAATGGGAAAAAAGAAAATATTTTCTATACCAGCCGATCTGATAGATTGAATTTGTTAAATAATATCAATAATTCCGTCTGCTAACTGTATGTTATATATCAAACTTGTCAGGTAATTAACACTGGTAGAACCCAGTTACATGTTAGTCATATAAAATGTCCCCTCATCCAACTGAAGTATGAATCAG